TGATGATAACACAACACTCCCTGGTGTCCTACAAGGTATAATACTAATAATGGTGATGAGGATTGAGGCATGACTGATGAGAGGGCAACGAAGCCATCAAGGATCTGAGCTGATCTGATCACTCATACTCGGGTGTCCAAGTTCGTGTTTGATGATTCATGTGGGGATGGACGATATTTGCATTATTTTTACTAGTAAGTAATAATAAGCTTAGGTACATTTGTCCCACATCGGGGTTGGGGTTGGATTTGGGTTGGGATATAAGTCCCTGGGATTGCCTCAAGAGTTGCCGGCTTTTGAGGTTAATTCTGGGATTAGGTTTATAAAACAACAAAAGTCTGATTCAGGCTGTTGAAAAAAGTAATAATAAGCTTAGGAGGAGGGGGCATGACTCATGAGGTTGAGGGGAAGGAAGGATAGGAAGGCCCTCATCAGTCCTTGTTTATTAGTCCTCACACATGGGGATCAACAGTTTGTTTTGTCTCTTCTTCTGATGGACGGCTCGTGAATCTGAGCAGAGTTTAGTTGGATTTTTACGCTTGTTTAGTTTAGTCCCTAACCTACACTGCTGCCCTTCTTGTCACTGCTCTGGACGACATGCCTGCAACATCCATGGATCAAACCATTTCCTTTCTAACATATCCTTTTGGTTTCTCTGCTTTGGACATGTTAAAGCCTGTTGTCCATTACTCCATTCAATCGTCATTTCAGTTGATTATGATACTACTAGAAGCAATTTTCGTGTTAAGACTGTTAAACGCTTTTCTGTTTACACTTTTTTGTGCTGCCAAAAGTTGAGGGTAAAAAACAAAAGGAAACTTACCATTGTTAATATATTATTGAATGTTTGTTTATTACCCATCTGGTTTATCTCCCTGCACTTCCAAGAATTAGGAACGAGCACCTTAGATAAATGGAAAAGGAAAGATTTGATTACCTTCTACATCTTGAACTCAAGCCAATTTCTCAGCACCAATGACTTCTCCATAAATGATAAAAGAATAGAGATTTTAAATTGATTGTTCAGCCACCGAGTAGTTATCTCAATCTCTATGTACTAGTTTTTGTGAGAAATTACCCACCAAAAGGCGGTTGTGTTTGGATTGCATTTTTCATGATTTTTCATAGAAAAATTATTGTAGCGTAGCGATTTGATGTATGTGAGGAAAAAATGTAATAGGGAAATGTGATCACGGAAAACGACGTAATTTTCCGACGGAAAACTGCAATCCAAACAAGGCCGCGCTCTTAAAGACTTTTCTACTATCACGGATTCTGTACCTGATATTTGGCGATGAGAATGATACAGAGAGGGTGTGAGAAAATTTAAAAAAAAAATATGTATGTTGTGTACACTTGATGTGAGGTAATTTTTCCTTCAAGAATTAATCAAACACTAATTTGGGTGCTTCAAGAATAAGAGAAGGCTTGGTGGTAATTTGCCATTTTTTAAAAATATTTTTAAGGCCGGAAGTATGTACAGAATTTTCTTTTACACATCGCACTTTGACGGGAATCATTTACTTGAACCACGTACTTGTCATTGTACATACAGCTTCTTTAATTATTCCAACGTATTCTGTTTTGGTCCATTAAGTCTTAATTTCATTCCAGCTTCATTTTATTTATTCCCCTTTTTTGGAGGTCCTTGCATGTGTAATGGAGATTTCAATCCCAGAAAAAAAAAAGGAAAAAAGAAAGCAAACGAGATTAATTATATCATAATAATGTTGACTACCATTATATAATCAGACAAAGACCCTGCAACTGCTATAGAATTACATAAGCATAATACATCTCAATTTCCACCCGTATTTGCGGTGTGCTATGTTTCAGAGTTTGGACCACAAAGCTTTGCTGTAACAGATTCTTTCTATACAAATTGATTCTCAGTCTACAGGAGTCATTGCAAATCAACAGTCTTACCAGACTATACAAGAGATCTAAGTGCCCAGTAAGTAAATGCAAATTATTGTGGCTTAAGCAAATCTTTCAAGCATCTTATGGAGGCATTAAATTCTGTCAATTAGCAGCGCTGTGTCCGTTTGGATTTTAGAAATCTTTGTAGAAAAATGTATTATAACGACTTGATATATGTGAAGTAAACAGATGGTTGAACAAAATCTTTCAAGCATCTTATGGAGGCATTAAATTCTGTCAATTAGCAGCAAGTCCATTTGGATTGTTGTTTTTATGAATTTTTGTAGAAAAATATATTATAACGATTTGATATATATGAGGTAAAAATATAGTTGAAGGCAAAATTTTTCTGTAGAAAAAGGCAATCCAAAAGCTTTTTTTTTTTTTCTAGAAAAAGCATTTGAATAGGTACTTCATTTGAGTGTGTTTGGATTGTAAGTTATTTGAGATATTTTTACTGTAGCACTTTTTGTGATGTGATGTATGTGAGATAAAAAGGTAATTGGGAAGATAAAAAGGTGTATTGGAAATTGTAATGGTGATGTATGCAATGAGTTTGTTTGGACAAGCCAAATTTGGTTTGCAAAATTTGTTTTCACAAATCCCAATCACCTTTTTATCTTCTCAATCACCTTTTTATCTCACATACATCACATCACAAAAAGTGCTACAGTAAATATCTCAAATAAACTCTTATCCAAACAAACTCATTGATTTTTCACACGTACTTGTGCTTGGTGCAGTGGCAAAGATTAAAAATTTTTAAAAATTAAAAATCTAGGAACTAGAGATTTTGGATTTAACCTCTTTACTTCTTGAATCTTATCCTTCTCGTGTTAAAAAAAAAAAAATACTTGGTATTCTAATTCATACGGGATGTTTTTTTTGATGGATGATTCATACGTGATTAATGATAATTACAACAAAAGCCCATTAGTACAACAAGACTTGCCTAGAACATTGGGACACGATTCGAGAACTCAGAATCTCCATGAAATCAAATACAGTTGCATGGATGTCGGACCATTCTTCAAAGGTTAAAAACAAAAAAGTTACTGTGATATAGTTATCATGCAGAAAAGTCCTTTGCGATTTCATATCACATGCGTCGATACCTTATTATTTGAATTATTCTAAAAAGTTGACAAAAATCGTCAAATTTACGACGCTTATCTTGAACGCGCACCGGAAAGGCACGTGTTTCTTGCAGAAAATAGATTTCTACCACAAACTTTCATCTGATATACCTACTTTACCCTTCACACTTTAACGAGAAGAGAACTTGTTCTGCCAGACTGCCAGTCTCCCTTCACACTTTCTGGGAGGCCGTTGTTTTGCAATTAAAGAAGAACAACGACACGAGAAGAACAAGGCAATTAAAGAAGCACGTCCTACGGTCCCTTCACACATTCCCCCTTCACAGCTCGTCCTTCACACTTTACCCTTCACAGTTGGTACCCTTTACTTTCTGGGAGGCCGAATTGCTGGTACATGTCGTTGTTTTCTCGTACAGCTGGTACATGTCCTTTACATTCGGCCAAAATTGAAGGACACAGAGCAGTTCTCAAGCCAGCATTCGAAGCCTGTGCAAAATTGTAAGTAATCAATCAACCAGAGGTTGCAAGCCGGCAAAGGATGATGTAGTTCTCAAAGCCAGCAAAGGAAACGGAAAGTGCAGCAACCAGCGGGGGAAAATAGATCTGTACATATTTTGTTTGTAAATATTGAAGGGAAAGTGCAGAAAGTGGTCGACGATGTCTTCCTCAAGCTCACTTGGGATCATATCAAAGTTCTTTCTGTTTGGGATTTGCCCACTGCTTCTGATTTTGGTCACGTTGTCCTTGGGGGGAATTCTTCCTCCACCAATTTTAGTGGGACTGGTGGTCCTTTGACAGTTACCATATTCGATAATTGTAAAGTTTTGTCGAAAAACTACAGGGTTAGGTGGAATTATAGTGAAGATAAGGATTCTATTGATTTTGGGTTGGAAGCTGCTATTGGGATTCAGAACTATAAGGCCTTTGGTTGGGCAAATCCCAATGCTTCCGAGAAGTTTATGGTGGGTGGAGATTTGACTGTGAGTGGTTTTAAGGAGAATGGAATGCCATTTGCAGAGGATTATTTCATATCAAAGTATAGTGAGTGTGTGGTGAATGAGGAGGGGAAGTTTCAGGCGGTTTGTCCTGATTCCATGCTTGACAGAATGAAAGTGCAAAATTACTTCTGCAATTTTCGCTTATATCAAAAGGGTATTTTTGCCTTTTCACTCAATTTCATCTGTTTTAGCGATTACGTCGTCGACTTTTTATAATAATTCAAATCATAGGCTACGGACACATTTGATATGAAATCACAGTGAGCTTTTATGTATGATAGCTATGCTACAGAGGCTTTTATATTGTTAACCCTTTTTCAAATGGTTTGGATTCTTGAACAAATTAATTCCGATCCCCATAAGCGGCCATAGGTAGCCGAGTGTGGAATCGCCAACTTCGGCCCACCGATGCTGAAGATCGACCCATTTCCAAGGTTTTGTCTGCTTTTGTGTTGGGCTCTAGAATCCCAATAGTATTGTGTTGGTCGGTGAAACGAAGGAATTGTAAATAAGAAATTTTGAATATGAAAATAGAGTAAATTTATTTATTTTTTGGATAAAATTCCTGTACATGAAATTAGGATGCCAATCCTAAAATTTTATTAAAATTTTAAATAAAAATGGAAATGGAGTAGAGTTGGTAGTTTGTATTTCAATAGTTGTGTGATAATCGTAGTGCATATTAGTAATTGTGTGATATTACTGGTCGAATTTCGAGTAACGTACGTTGTGGTGGAATATTTATACTAAACTATTCCTCCCACCTTATATATATATGGTAGGGATATCAAGTTTGATTGTTATTGAAAAGAAATAAAATAAAAATACAAGAAAAGGTGCTTTGGCTAAGAAAATTAAGGATCCCCGCAGAAGTATTTAAATTTGGTATGAACTCGCCATTAATTGAGACGCAATCAAGATACATATGTAAAAGTTTACATATTGCTCTATAAAACCATAAACCAAAAAAAAAAAACTGTATAACTAAAAAGCCAAAAAGGAAAAAAAAAATTATATAACGTAAATGAGAAAATTTCTGGCCCCCCTTCTATCACGCACGTCCTTCAGGGATCTAATTGGTAGATATTTGATACCAGTTTATTTGGATAGTTTATTATTTGCAGTAAAAAAAAATTTCCCCTAAAAAATTATCCCTAATAATCTGCTCTCCAAACATGACATTTTCCGTCAAGACTCCAAGAAGCTATGGCCGGAAGCCAATAAGCTATGGGCGGAACTCACTAAGCTATGGGTGGAAGAAACTAAGCTATGGGTTGAAGACAGAAGGGGCTGACGCTGCCATCCTTCTTCCAAGTCGTAGAAGCTGACGCAGGCGCTGTCTCTGGCGGGTGGCTTGGTATCTCTGTATATCCCATACAGCACTAGTTGAGCTGTTCCAAGTATACATCCTGTCCCATTTGGTACCTGCAAATATAATTTAGATGCGAAAAATGTCAAATTACAACCGAGGAGGAGGTCTTGGTTTATGTGGTTAAAGTTAAGATCATTGCATCTAATATAGGTTAACTTTTTTAATTAGTCAATAATCTTGAAGGTGGCAGGCAACAACCAAAAAAAAAGAAAAAGGGAAGATAGTGAGAGTCGCTAGCATTTCATTATCGACCATGCATGCATGGGACAAGATAACGTGGGGAAAATTACCCCACAAAAATGGGTAGTTTATGTATAAAAATTTATAAAGTTGCTCTCATAGTTAGAGAATATTATCCCTACGTCTCTTCAGTAATAAGAAATTTATTTGGTGTTACTTTTATATTTGTCATTTGTCATCATCAAATCAACACACGTAGAAACAAAAATGGCTCATTTTATCCCTTACACTTTCATCGAAGATCAAAACCAACTAACGAGTACTCAAATTTACTTTCATTCTTTCTTTCTCTGTCTCCTAAACACAAATTCATTTGAAAAGTTTACATAATTTTTTTCTCTGCATATTGAAACTCACAAAAAAAATTGCTCATTTCACCTTTACAAATAGAGGAAATTCTCTAGGAATTTGAAATTAAGTAGAAGCAGCAAAATCCTCATTAATTTTCTTTATTTTTGTTCTAGGATGTGTATAAATGGGGCCCTTTGAGAAATTGTAACTGATCGATCATTAGGACTAATAATTAATTGTAGAAATGAGGAAAGAGTGAACTTACCGAAACGAAATAATCTCCTATCAACCAACCATACAAAGCCCAAACGCCTCCACTCAGGAAGATGAAAAATGAAAGGTAAAAAGGCATGTACTCCACACTCCTGGTCATCACCACCGTCCTCTGAAAGTGAAATTCCGACAGATTCATGAGAGTATCCATTGCATATATATGGTTTGCATATGGTTTCATGATCTCAATATTCTTACCATGGAAGAAAGCGGCGAAGCGTACGTGACAATGATGAAACCTGCGGCCAAGAAACCCATGGATGCGACCCGAGCTTCTCCTTTAAATGCCAGTCGCGTAAATAAAATCGCTCCCACCAAGAATCCAACATTCAAAGTCCCTACAATAAGTGCAATTTTAACCTGCAAATTGCAATTAAAAAAAAAATTTATGTCGGTAAAAAGACCATAGAAAAGAAATTATGGTAACGAGTAAAGAAATGATGATTGATTGATGGGGAATGTAATATTAATAATGGATCATGAAGATGGTTGTAGCTAGCTACCTTGTTGCTTGGAGGAGCATAGAAAAGGAAGAGGCCAACATAAACAATCCCAAGTATGCTTCCAAACGCATTGATTGTGCCGACAAGAAATGCGCTGGGCTGTACAATTCCATAGTACGTCCATAGAGATGCACTCAGCAACGAACATATGTATGGAAGGCTGTCAAATTCCTCCGTCGATTTGTTCTTTACTATCCTCTTGAAGGTGTCTCTGCAAATCATTACAATATATTCATCTTGACAGGATTGCAATGTGAGAGGCATTACCATTTTCTCACCCAAATTCCCACAAACAAAAGGGAATATAATTAAAAACTCGAGAAGGGCCAGCTTAATTACATGGGCGCAAGGAATACAAGCATTGACGTGACATTGCCTGCAACCAAAAAAGATAATTTTTTTTAAAAAAAAAAAAACCAATTAGAGAAATTTTTTATTATTTCTATCTTGTATGAAGATGGAGAAGTAGAAATTTGGGAATATCCAACCACAATAGATCGATATGATCTCAAATGCATGCAATAAATATATCATGAAAAGTTGTACGTGCGCCTGATGATGAGCCACGAAACAAAGAAGTTTAGGTTCTCACCCAAGATGCCAATGAAGAAGGTGAAACCTTCCATTTTTGGTGAAGGCCACCAAAATCTTGACAACAGCACTCCAAAACGCAAATGCCTCCCAAACAAAAAGAAAGGCCTTCAGAACGGCTTATAAGACGAAGAGGATGAGGCGGCTTTGCTTGCAACTTCACAAACTAGCGATTTGTATGGAAAAAATCAATTAATGTTGTTTTCTTGTTCTTAGTTTACTTTAAAAAAAAAAAGAAAAAAAGAAAGACATTTAAGGTGCTGTAAGTAACTATAGTTTAAATTTATGGAAAATAGGTACATATGATCCACACTTCAAAGGAAGACATCTTTTAGGTAGCCAATTACATCTTGAAAAATATGCTCCATATCCATTTAATTCCCACAGTCATGTGCATGTGCGATTGGTTGTTTGGATTGCCATCTTTGGAACTTTTTTTTTGAGAATATTTCCTTAATGAATTTCTTGGTCATCTTTTTTTTTATTATTATTTTTACAAACATCACATCTCAAAAAAGTGTTGTGCATGGTAATTTTATATTTTCTAAATTTTAGTTAATTCTAATCCACCCCTCATCCTTTGATTAAGCCTAAATGAGTGATTACTTGCTAATTGAGTGTTTTAAACAAGAACAATCAAAGACAAAAGATTGAAACCCTTTTCTTTCAAAATTAAGAAGGACAAGAGCAACAAAAAAAAAAAAATCACAAATCTAGGGACTTCAGAAAATATATATATGTTCGTGTGACATTAATGATTCATGGTTTCACAACCACCCAAAAATGTGGTTTAGATTCACAATCTTCCCAAAGATATAATTTAGGGCTGGTAAATTCTCCAAAAATTTAATTCTGAATTCACAACTTCCATAAAAATTCAACATCGAGTTCACAACTTAATTTCTTTAACATGGAATTCAAGATTAGGATTTTAATATAGGAGGACACCTTGCACCATCACTATATTAACAAGCATTGTTTAGTTTCATGCACTTATCGGGCCTCCAAATTCGTCACATTTGAGCAATTCACCTAAGGTCTATTGCCCCAAAACAGCAAACTTTAAATATATGCATACAGGCTCCACTCAACCTGCAATAACTCATATTCTGTCTTAAAAAACTTTTAAACATGGAAAAGCATCAATTCCCATGCACGTTGAAGAATTCAAGAAGGTCAAAAACTGCAAACACACAGGATGGAATTAAATAATATTCAGGAGCTATGTAATAATTTGCATTGTCTTCAAGAAGGGCATTTGTTAACACACAGGAAGGAATTGTTTCCTCAGAGAAACAGCCTCATCAGGGCTAAACATTTGGCTAAACAATTGAATATCCCGTCGAAGTGCAAATGAGACGTCAGTTTACTGATGACTGTTTCAGATGTTAGATACATATCATAAAGATATGGTAAAACAGCAGTATTTATTGTTGAATTATAGAAGTTTCAGATTACATGATTATGGTACATAACAGACTAGTAGAGTAAGATCATACTTTCATTCATTAAGTTAAAGAAACATATTATTGGTTCTTGACAGTTTCTGTACATTTCTTCTTTACATATAGCAGAAAATCAGACTTGAAAAGTTGTTTCCACTACCACTACAGTTACTTGAATAATTGTGTGAACTCATGATTACAATGTCAATAATATCTCCATTAATCCATGATACCTTCCGTCTTCAGCCAATCATTAATTTTTGACAGACCGAATTCTCTAATTGTCAATAGCTCCATTAATCCATGATACCTTCCGTCTTCTGCCAATCATTAAGTTTTGACGGACCATACTCTTAACTAGATATAAGCTCGTGTATTACAGCACGGAACCATCTAAATTGATATCAAACTTAGGATAAAAATATTTATACAGGAGAGGAATTTACCATAATTTTAGAGAACAATACCAAAACTGAGTACTTTTTATGTTGCGATCAAAATCTAAGTCTTCCCATATATACGTGTGGAAATGAAAACGTTTGATACATGACTTTTGCATCTAAATAATGATCCAAAGTTTGCAAACACCTATATCAGCATCAACTTTACACGATAGTATTGGTCATAAGGGTAACAAAATTAGATATCAAACTAAGGCTCTTTCACTAATCCCTTATCTGGTTCTTACTTACTTCCTCGTCATACGCTGGTAATTAATGACTAAGCAAAATATATTAATGCTTACCTGAAGTATCCAATTTCGCGTGGTTAGAAGATGACTTTAATCTAGCCTCCGCCCTGAGCCTTGTTCATGCACTCTTCTGATGGACTTCTAATCCTCTGCAACTTCACAGGCATGAAAAAGAAACCAAGGCTTTTAAAGAAGCACCATGGAATCAGAGCAAAATCTTTTGAGGCTGGTTTATATTTTATTATTATAGTAGCAGAATCATAGTGCCAATTAAGACCAATCATGGTAGTATGACTCAACAGTGATTGTAGAATGACTCGAGTAGACATATGCATTAGCTGTAAGCGATCGGTGAAAATGGCGTCAGGCTCTCAAGACCTTGAGCTTGCATTATGAGATTGTGACTTGCATTATTCCTAAGCGTTCATGTTGGTGTCGCACAACCATTGGATGAAGTGAAAACACTGCAACATTTTTGTTTGCGAGTTAAGCAGGAATGGATGGTTCTTTCATCGAGGAGGATCGGGTAGGATGATAAAAACGAGAATAATTGTAAATAGCAAATTTTGAATTCAAGATTTCTCAATCAAGAAAAACAAAAAAAAAAGCTTTTCAAGTATAATACTAATTGTTAATTTTTCATCAATCAAGTATCCCACTTGTTCGCCTTTTGGTTATAACAAACAATAATTTACATCAATCAACTATTCCACCTGTGAACATACACACCGTGCCAAGCAATTCAGTTTCTTTTTCTCTTTATTCTTTGCTATATTATGGCAGCGGCCCAAGCACCATTAATAACGCAGTTTATGTGGCACGATCGTTTAAAAATGCAATATGCGCAATTTTCTGAACTGTGAATAATAGTTTTGAGGTTCCAAAACTCAACTTAATCCTAAGAATATTAGTTAAGTGAGTATAAGATTCTTAGTTCGGCCCTTTTTCCCCCCTATAAGGCCTGGAGTTGTCCTTGGAGAAAAAAAGAAAAAGAAAAAGGTTCAAGGAGGTTCTAAGGGGAAAAAAAACAACAAAAGTTCCAGGAAGTTCTCGGACCAACTTTCGAGTACGGCAATTCTAGACTGAGAAAGAAACTTCCTAGCACTTCTGGGTCATGTTTTACTCAATCCACGTGATTGCAGAAAACTGCTGAATCAACTCCACATCAGAATGCTAGAAAGCTAAAGAGCCACACTGCTCATAATTTGCCGAACCACATGAGAATTTGCAAGAAATGGTGGCCAATTTGAATAAGAAATTCGACAACACAACTGTCACGAACATTATTGATTCATGTGCTCTTCCAAGAACCTTAAATACATCAAAATCTTCTCTGTATTTAATTATTTGGAAAGCCAGTGATTTTTATATTACACCACCACATTATTAAGCTCATTAAATACTAAAACATGAAGAAACATACAGACAGAGATATCAGCTGGAGCCGGAGGAGCAGTTTGCGAGAGAGGTAAGTTGATCTCACAGTCGGGACTGTCCAGGATCCGAGGTTGAACCCTGTAATAAACAGATTTTTTAATTTCACCAGTCACAACCACCAGAATGGACGTGTCAAAAAAATCTAGGGAGTGCGTGCGTGTGCGCATCTGGAATGAGCATGAAATGGCCAATTTGACATTGACAAGTTTGTAATTGAAAATGTAAGCCCGGATTACAGCTGAAACAATAGGAAATCGACAGATCTAACTCGAGTTGGGGAAGAAAAAACGATGGCTAAATAAAAGAGGAAAGGGGCAAGAACGTTTGTCAAACCAAATACTACCATTTGAACAAGTTTGTAACTTATCGTTAACAACTTGTACAACTTCACAACAATTGTATTTTGATATTAAGTCACTGTTCATGTGATCTCCACACGTAATAATGACGTCCCTGTTGCGAAGTTGTACATTTAGCTTATAACGAGAGTTACAACTTGTTGACAAAATGTTGCACGGTTCAAACAATCGTTCATGCCCATCTCCCAAATGATGGGAGAAGAGGGTTGTAATTGAAGACGTTTGACAAACATGGATGACTAATCACTGAACACGAGGGTTGACTAGAGAATTCTTACCAGAGGAGCACCTTTGGCAGCTCTATCGGCCAAGTATGCACAAGGCTTGAAAAATCCCCCATACAAATTTGCCCATTCTTCCAATCTCGAACAAATGTATTTGGATCCAAAAGTATCAGCCCAAAACAAAATTCCTCCCCTGATTAATTAACATGCAATTAGGTCGGTAGTCTGACTGAAGATAACATCATTAGAACATTGATAGTTTTTAATATAGACCCCTTTGTGTCGCAGAGTTTTTATTTTTATTTTTTTTACTTTTCTTTTGCAACACTTATCTAATATAGGGAAGATGTTTTGAATCAGTAAAAGATTTCAAACCTGTAAGGTGGGAATCCCATTCCCATCACGGCAGAAATGTCAAGATCAGCAGATTTGACAGCAATCCCTTCAGCAAGTACCCGGCATGCCTCATTTACCACAGGGAAGAATATCATCTCCACAATATCCTTATCTGATAATTTTGTCAACTGGATGTAGGAAATCACCACAATTAGTTGGTAGATAACTTTTTTCATTAAAAGGTTCAAATCGCATATCTCAATTAGACACTGCCATGGAATGAAGGTGGTTTTTCACACACACACAGAGGGAGAAAGAGAGAGAACCTTCGGGTCAATCTTAACACCAGACATCTCTCTTGATTTCTCAATATACTTCTTTATTTCTGGATCAGGGCTGGCTTTGCGTTTGTTATCATATACATAGAACCCTCTTCGAGTAGTTTCACCTATGACAAGTGTATGGCCGATTAAACATGTTCAACACTTGCAACATGATATTAGATTGTGAGCCATTTATCAAGAGCTCCAGCAAACGAGTGAGCTTACCTGCTCTCTTATCTTCTTGCATGAGTGGAATAAGCATCGACTTATAAGTTCTCTCAGGAAAATTTAAGACAAACTGAGAGCCGGTTGCGATTGCAACACCAAATCCAACCAGGTCACACAATCTACACGGACACATTGAAGCCGCGAGGCCACCACCATTTTAGTAAATTGTCGCCTTCAGCATCAATAATGAGATTAAAGGATACAAAACAGCTACATTTATTATCTCTTACCTGAAAGGACCCATTGGCATTCCAAATTTGTTGATTGCTCTATCAATCTTGTACACATCCGTACCACGTTCAACAAGCAATAGGGCAGCTTGAGTGTAAGGGAAAAACATCCTATTGACAGCAAATCCAGTGCAATTTCCAACAACAACTGGGGTTTTCTTTATCTTCTTCCCAACATCTAACAAGTCCACAATTACTTGAGGAGATGTCTTTTGGGTACGAACAATTTCCAAAAGAGGCATAACATGAGCTGGACTGCATTAAACAATATACAAAAAGTTTAAATCACAACCAACGATACAAATTAGGAGGGAAGAGAAACTAGTGTACGAGCAAACTAAAGGTTACCTGAAAAAATGGGCTCCAATGATCCTATCGTGAGACCTGGTCTTCTCACCAATCAGATTTAAGTCAATTGTGGATGTGTTACTCGCAAGTATGCAATGAGAAGGGCAATACTTCTCTAAATCTGCAAATATTTGCTGCTTCAAAGATACGTTCTCAATCACAGCCTGCATTTCAACATTAATAGCATGAAGTAATCAGACAAGATTGAATTGTTGGAACCACAGGATGAGGTAGAGAAGGGGATGGGGTGGAGGATGCAACTGCAAAACCTCAATTTATACATATGCTTTACCTCTATGACCATGTCCACATCTCTAAAGCTATCATAATCAAGGACACCTTTGAGTAGAGAAAGATTCTTCTCAAACTTCTCTTGAGTCATTTTCCCTTTCTTGACTCGACTTTGCAAATTGGCTGTATTTAACCAAAAAAAAAAAAATTTGTTCCCTATCATGTCTTACATGCATGAACTAATCCAAAGGTAAAAAATCTGTCATCACCTCTCACTCTATCAATCCCAGCCTGTAGAAATTTCTCATTGACTTCTTTTAGGATCACAGGATAATTACTGAGGATCAGCGCTGTTGCTATTCCAGAACCCATTAAGCCACCACCAAGAATTGCAACCTTTTTTATCCTTCTAGGAGCCAAACCTCGGTCAGTGATTCCTGGAACCTGCATGGAGTTGGAGATATGGTCACTTAAAATATAGTCAATAATAGCTTAGGCTGAAATACGAAAAAAGCTGTCTACTTTAGACTAGAATGCAGTAATCTTTCAAACTTCAGTATCTGGAGATTTAACTTCATGATGACAGAGAATTTAAATTGGTTAAATCTGATGCATTACCTAGAGAGGGAAAGATAACATTTAGTAAATTGAGAAGCATGCCTAACTGAAGTTCAAGTTGTGACGCAGTTTAACTTATTAGATTATCCAAGTAGAAATGAAAGTCAGACTATTTCAAAGAAATGTAAGTAAACAAATATCATGGTAACTTCTCACTGCTAGAGCAATTGATTCTACAAAGTCCCATGGAATCACATTATTGTATCAAAGTAGCAAAAGCCGATTCAGAGCAGCTAGCCTACAATGTCAGTGATGGTTATTATCCAAATCACAAAAAAAACCTCTAGACAGCTACCAAATTATTTACCTTTGTCGTTCCACGTTGAGCAAAGAAAATGTGGACCAAACTCTTACAAGTGTCTGAGTGAAGGAGAACTTGAAATGCTTCAGCTTCCTGCCAATATGAGAAATTCACTGGCATTACATATTGCTGAGAAACTTGAGCATCAGGAAAAGAGAATTGAAAGCAGATAAATACCTTGAAAAGGCCAGCACGAGGACCTGAAATAATACCTTCCTCCACAACATCAATGCAAACCAATGGATGTGTGAGATTTGGAGCCTGCTTACGTATTTGAGCTCGTGCAAACTTCAGTATTTCCTTAACCTCAGCAAGAGATTCTAACTTATCAGTCTTATAAAGGCTAGAAACCCAAGGTCTTTTTCGCTCCAAAATTTCAAGTGCCCAGCGACGAGCAGTAGCCAGCAGTTGATCTGGTGTAGCTATTTCATCCACAAGCCCTAAACTAAGAGCTTCTTCCCCTTTTACAGGCTTTGACATCTGAATGGAAGAGTAGAATATGAATTACACCCAAACTCAGTTTTCCCAAGCTATCCTGCCAAAAGTTGCAAGCTAGAGCTTACCAGCATCATTTCAAGAGACTTGGCAAGACCTACAAGGCGAGGAAGGCGCTGCGTTCCTGCAATAATGTGATCAGTTATTTCCTGCAACTGACATATATGCTACTAGAACTTTGACAATTTAAGCATCAGAGGATCAAGCACTACTGCTAACAATAACTATTACCAATGAAAAGAAAAAACAGCATTTTGTAAGAAATCAGGTTCAAAGCTTATAACAAGAAGAGGCCCACTTTTTTCTGAAAACTGGTTTTATTACAGGACAGCTCATGATGTTCATATTGCTCACTACATCTTGTAAACCTGAAATCATAAGATCACGACTCTGTGACCTAAGATATTATGGCCAAAACAGCAAATACT